ATTCTGTCTGTTCAGCTGACCGCGAAAAGGAACAAAATACCCCCTTCAAAGTGGGAGAGAAATTTATTTTCAATCATGTCTTCTATGAGCTCCTCTTGACTGTACTTTTTTTTTCTTTCTTTCTTTCTTTTTTTTTTTTTTTTTACCAAACCAGAAGACAGAAGCAGTTCTATCTGTTGATGACATCATATTGGATGTGATTCTGGAGCTGCTGGTTTCCTGTTTGGGGAAGTGGAAGTCCTTTGCACAAGGAACCCCAAGGCAAAATGTTTAGTGTTCCCCTGTAAGCTCACGCTGCCTTTGTTCTTCACTTGGCTACACTCATTACTGCTTTCTCCTCGCCTCTCTAAAACCTCTGCTTCTGGAGGCTGCATAAAAATGCCAGCTCAAATCTAACTGCTATCTCTTAAGGCACGAGAGATTTTCTACCGTCCACTGCTGTAAAGCTTCGAGTTAACAGGCATCTTTTCACAGGTGAAACCAGACGACCCACTTTCCTCCTGGTCCCGCATTAGGATTCCATATTAAAATGTATGCCACAAATAATCCAGTGGCAAACTCACCGTCAACAGCTCCCAAAATCAATAAAAGCCATTCCACCACTTGACTCGCAGTGAAAAACCTTTCAGGTTGACACAGAGAGCGAGGTAAAAGAAAGGTGATGAATGAACAAAAGGCGAATCTACCTGCAGACCTCTCAAATCCCAAAAAAGGTGGCGAGGCTGCCTCGATTTGGCAAAGTACCTCCTTTTTTTTTTTTGGAATCATCGGGAAAAGGCTACATGTATACTGCTTTAGTCTTATGCAAAACAGTGCGTTCTCCACAAGGCCCTGACGCCTACCATCCTCTGAACTTGCTTCGTTCCAGGCCTGACTCTTCTAAATGACGAGACACACGCGATTTCATGAAGTCATTCTGCTTTCGTCTGGACAGCAATACCATCATACAGTCACCCTAATCCCACTAGACTGGGAGAACATTACGAGTATTTCTTCTCCACTCTGAACCCAATATTATCTCCAGGGTACCGATCCACTGTCAGTCTGTGTCTGAATGGATCTTCAAATAAATACTTAAATCCATGCTCAAAATATCATATCTCACCTGGTGAACCTTGACCTTTAGGAAAGACTTTGGACCAGTGTTCAGTTACTGTCACACAGTTGCATTCTCTGCAAACATGAAAGGGTTAAAAGCAGCCCCAGTCAACAGGCCTACAAGGGAAAAAAAAGACAGCATGTATGCCTTACAGCATCACTGAAAAGCGTTTATGCTCATTTGCTAGAACAATACTGTTACCTTTGGCCTTCATAATAGTCAGAAGTATCCCCAACACCCTTTAGTAGCTTCTAAAAGGAAAAGCACAAAACAGAACATAGCCTGCAAGAGAAAAAAAAGCATGCAAAGTAGCATTCTCCAGCAACAAACAAACTACCATTTCAAATCCATCAGTTCATTTTGGTTTGGTTTTGTTAAAAACAGAGAAAGAGAGAGCGAGAGAGACTGCATAAACCAAGTGTCCCCACCCTAGCAAGTCGCATTTTTTTTCTTTAATAAGGGTCATAAATCTCAGCTCCTTGTCCATCCCTTAAGCAAAAGAAAAAGGCAGGAAAAGCCCAAGTAATCTCAGACCTTGCAAACCTGCACCTTTTTCCCCATCTGCCCTACACAGAATCTTTTAGGACTCCATTAGTCACGTACCAGTGCTGTGTGGTGTCTAAGTGTGCATTCACATACTGTGTTGGGATGGTACCTTCCTGCAAAGCTCCTCTGCTTTTGGCTGCCATGAAGGGAGGAAGCTGCTATCCCACTGTAGTAGCTCAGTGACTGCATTGTGTTCAGGAGCTGATCTGCCTCAAACCAGTTTCAGCCGGTTCTGGTCACCCTACATAAAAAAGCTATGGCAACCCTCGCTGAGTTGCCAACAAGTCCCTGAAAACCATCAGCACAGGGGGGTCTCGCTGGGGGTTGCTTTTCGCTTTTAGGTCTTCCTGAAGAGGGGAAGGTCATCGTGTGTCCCCCCCGCCCACCACACAAGCACACAGTCTTGGAAATGCCCACCTCACAAGCACCCCAGAGCCCCTCAGGGCCCATCCCCCCTCCCCTCCGCCCCAAAACCCACCGCAGACACTGTTGCCCCCTCCTTCTCCTTCCCCCACTTACCTCCCACAACCTGGCTCAGATCTTTGTGTACGTGTGTGTCAGTGTGTGTTCTCTGTGTTGGTGGCTGACAAAGAGCCCCCAGGAAAGCAATCTATGTGTGTCTCCTCACACTGGATGCGTCGGCTGCAGGAGCCGGCCTCGGCCTCCTAGCAGAGTGGTGCTGGCTTGTTGACCAGGCTCCTCTCTGCC